GGTGGGCCTACCAGCCACCTTCCGCGCGGTGGGGGGGGGGGCACTTTTTTGCCCCCCCCCCCCGTATCTCCGAAACTACTGGACGGATCCGGAAAATTCAAACGGCGCTCGATAGCCCTGTCAAATTTGTCGAGGGAAACCAAATTTCATTGACCTCGGGGTCACCGATGACGTCACAGGTCAGGTCAAAGATAAAATGTTTCACCGTTCACGGGGCTTCTAGGGAAAGCGCTATAACACCGAGTAAAACGCATTTTGTCGAAAATCAGCGATAAGGCGTCAGTTTTCTAGTACATATGTTGCTATTAGAGGTCACTGGTCATACCAGGTCAGGTCACAGGTCAGGTCACCAAAGGTCACCAAGGGTCACCACATGAGCCCAACTTTACTAAGGTTATGCGATGCATGTTTTATGGCCAGTTTTTCATTTCCAACTCAATGGTGTTGGTTATAAGACCATCAGGTACGGTTTGGGTCACTTTCTGGTGGAGGTCAGGTCAAGGTCAGGTCAAAAAAGGTCAAATTTCAAAGTTGATATTTATGCATAAAATGGGTATTGATTCGATGCAGCTCGTCACGGGGAGTCTAATGGTGGTCTTTGTTTTGCGCTACGAGGTCTAGAATTGCTAAAAATTGAGTTTGAAAATTTGACGTCATCAATTTTGAACAGTTTTTTCGCTATAACTTGGCCAAAAAAAGAGGTATCGATCTCAAATTTGGTATGTAGATAGAAGGCGGTAGGGGCTATCACATATAATCCGGTTTTTTCGAAATTCAAAAAACTTTTTGGATTTTTTGGCTATTATATTAAAAAAAATATATTTTTTGATTTTTGGGGGTCAAAATCCAAAAAATTCGAAAAACCGAAATAGCAGTTTTGTAGCCCTTTTAATTTTACACCTTTTATGTCTGAAACATTTTTCTGTATCTCTAAAGCTGTAGGCCTGACAACTCTTCCCGCGAAACCTTTTTTTGGGTCGAAAATGGCAAAAATGACGTCACTCTGACGTCATTAGCGGCCAACCTATCATAGCCTTTGGAAAAATTTTTGGTCACCATGTGCGCTAGCTGCTCCCGGGAGGGTACTGAAAGTTTGGTGACGATCGGCGCAGCGGTTCTCGAGATATATCGAAAAAACTAAAGGGGGGGCAAAAAATTGCCCCCCCCCCCCACCGCCTGGAAGGTTAAATAGACGGAACCACCAAGCAAAAATAAGTATGACGATAAGAGACAAAATTATGACACAATTATAAGACGCCTCGATCATTAATTAATAGAGATTAACCCGCGACCGCCTGGGGGGGGGGCGGATCCGACACCCCTCCGTTTTTCTCGAATAACTCATGAACCACTTACGCTATCAACTTGAAACTTACCATACCTTCCTCCCCATCAATTTGATGTCTCCTGTGTATTTTTAAAGAAAACTTTTTTCCAAAACTTTTTGAGATATATCCATTTTAGTGATGTAATTACATGGCGTTTTTAGTCAAAAAGTGGTAAATGTTTAAAAAATCGCCAAAAATCAGGGTAATTGCAAATTAGGGAAATGAATAGACGCAGCTCAACGAGTTCTTTAACCCTATTCCTGGCGGGGGGGGCCTCAGGAGCCCCCCCCCCTGAGGTTTTTTGGTTATATCTCCCAAACGTGTTGAGCTAGGAAGCTCAAATTTTCTGACTTTTCCTAAAAGGCTTCTACGCAACATGTCTGAAAATTTTGAGTTGATCTGACCTCAGGTCAGGTCACCAGAGGCGGTTTGGTGACGCTACCTCAGAAAAGTTTGCAATCACGCCAGAGCTAGAGTTTTTGACCGATCAATTTCTTCTCTTCAGGGTTTAGTAAGGGTACCAGTATGTGCAATTTGTATATCTCGGAATTTTGATATCGGTGACCTAAGGTCAGGTCAATTTCGCGACCTCCCCATTATAAGTCAATGGGGGAAAAATCAACTCCCTGTTTTTACCACTAAAACGGGTCGGAATGGCCCCATATACCATACATGACTTCATATACGATCAACCTTCACTACCTTGAGGTCTGTTTTGCTGTTGGGCAGCTGTGAGGTCATGTGACGTCATCAAAGGTCACCAAAGGTTTTTGGCCAATAACTCCGTACAGGAACAAGATACAGACGCGTGGATGGTCTCATTGTGTTCAGCTCGTCAAGACGCATCGAACGATATACATGATGACCTCGAGGTCACGTGACCTGAGGTCAACCTTTGACCTTGACCTTTCGAGGTCAACATATATATCATTCGATGTGGATTGACGAGAGGATCACGATGATGCCCTTAGTTTGTTCCTATCTTGACTAATTCGAAAGTTATTCGAGAAAAACTCTCTCCATATCTAGTGCCGCCATTTTGACTTTTTCGACCCCTGTGACGTCATCTTTGACCTGACCTGAAAATGACCTTAGTAAAAATTGTAGATCTTGGCCGTGCGTATCCGATGCCGTTTACCGCTTGTCGCTATCTTGCTTCGTTCTCGAGATCTCAGGGGGGGGGGCCGAATCGGCCCCCCCCCGCCAGTTTCTTGTCCCGGCGGAGCCCGCCAGGAATAGGGTTAAAATGGCTATCTCGGATTTTCCATGAAATGCGTTTTTCATCCCTAAAAATTCAAAAAACTATATTTATTGGAAAACAGCTAATAAAATCCAGAATTTTGAGAATTTCCAAAAAAAAAAACGGAATATATGTTATAGAGCTCTATTGGAAAATTAGATATCCCAAATTTCAACTTTCTATCTTGATTTTTGACCCCCAGCTGTAAAAAATAGTTCCAACATGCATAGGGCATGGTGACGTCACAAGCATTTTTGTGAATTAGAGGCACTTCTGAACGCCCATGTAGCAGAAAGTGAAAACCGTGACCTTTCGTGACCTGACCTGACCTTGACCCGTACTTAGTATGACCCCTATACGCACATGGCACCTTCACTAGGTCTTTGAGGTCATTTGTGGTGAGTTTCGAGCAGCAGCTATCGATTCCGCTGTCCGTAAGCCTAATCATGCAAAACCCCATAATTTGACATTTGACCTGATCTTGACCCGAAAGTTGACCTCAATCTTAAAATCTTAAAGAGTGCTTTGGAAAGGTCTCGTAGAGACCTTTTGAACGCCGCCTCGCGGGGCTCGATACGACCATTGGTTCTCGAGATAACAGGGGGGGGGGTTCGGATCCGACCCCCCCCCCCCCCGGCTGTCGTGGGTACGGAAATAGCCCAGGCGGTGCCAGGTTAAGAAAAGTGGGAGGTAAGACTGGCAAAAAAGCCGAAATCACGGTGTGAAAATCTCATAAGACCCATAGCCAACGCAAGATATTGGGTAGGTACTTGGTCATTTGGGTCATGACATGACCTGAAGAATAATAGCGGAGTATGGTCATATATCCGAAACCAAAGTCCACAGAAGCTTGAAATTTTCAGTGGACGCTGTGAAAGGATAGAAAAACAGCTTTACGCAAAACCAGGCTCTGAACTTTACAAATGATTATAGTGCAGACCAGGGCTGCGGAGTCGGAGTCGGAGTCGGAGTCGGTCGGAGTCGACAGTTGTGACCGGAGTCGGAGTCGGAGTCAGAGTCGATTTTAGAAACCCGAGCCGGAGTCGGAGTCGGAGTCACCGAAAATCTGTCGACTCCGCAGCCCTGCTAGGTCTGCGGAGTCGGAGTCGGGAGTTGGAGTCGGTCGGAGTCGACAATTCTGCCCGGAGTCGGAGTCGGAGTCGGAGCTGGTTTTTGAAAGCCTGAGTCGGAGTCGGAGTCGGAGTCACCGAAAATCCATCGACTCCGCAGCCCTGGTGCAGACTGCAGAGCAGAAAACTATCTGGGGTGGCACCCCTCACCCCCGCTCATGTTCGGGCGAGGGTTAAAGTGTTTTTACTATATTAGGGCGATTAAACCAGGGCCTCGTTTCATAAAGCGAGTCCGTAACTTACGCCGGTTTTTGGTCTTGTATCGCAAGTGTATGTGAAGCGATGAACATATTTCCACTTCTCCCTTCTGTTCTTGCTTGCAAGATAAATAAATTCAACGATTCAAACCAACTTCATCGCTTCACATGCACTTGCAATACAAGACCAAAAACCGCCGTAAGTTACGGACTCGCTTTATGAAACGAGGCCCTGCTCGGCAATTTAGCACATGCATCTTTCATGGCCTATTAGATACGTTAATTAAAAAGACGGAACTATCACACTAAAACAATTATGACACTAAGCGACACAATTATGACACAATTATAATTAAGACGTCTCGATTATTTATTTATAGAGATTAAGTGGAATCGGATCTGAGAACCCATAGTTACCAGAGATTCTGCACACCCTCAACGGATACTTCGGCTTCTATGTAGAATGTGTGTTGGATGGGTAAAACCGTCGCGGCTTCACCGTTAACTCGCGCCTCCTGGGATATTCACCCGAACCCGCCCTGCTGGCGAGGGGGAGGGGCGGCATGGATTCTCAACCCTCAGCAAGACAGAGCTTTGGAGCACAATGTGTTTGCCTCATGCCTGTGCAGGTCGGTCATGGGCCAAGATCAGGTCAAGGGTAAAGCTCTGTAAAGCTAAAGTATAAAGGCTTTCGGAGCCCTGTTGGCAAATAATTGATCGAGATTGATCATCTGAGATCACGTTCTTAGACTATCGAGGCAAAATGCAGTAGGGGTACATACATACAAAATTTAAGGTAAAAATCACCAAAAACCATCATGAACGACCTATTGAATAGGATATGTGTGACACGTGTTTTATGAGTCATTTTACTTATAAAACTGAGTGGTCATGCTCAATTCGTATTTTGGCCATATCACTCAGGTCAAAGTCAGGTCGTGTGAGGTCAAATTTTGAAGCGGAATTCTTAGACTCAAAATGCTTATTTTTACGTCATGTTTAAAACATAGATGTATGACACGGTTGAAGTTTTGGAATTTTCAAAGCGAAAATATGTAGGTATGTGGGTATTGTGGGTACTAAACTTTCCATAACAAACCAAAGCTTCACAAAATGATGTATCATCGGCAGAAGATGGTACTGACACTGCTCACTGACACATTTACATATAGTTATATCACACATACATATAGTTGACATTTTTACACATATAGTCATCGCGCGAGATACAGCGCGCTTGGACGGTGTAGCCCCGGCTGCCAGATGGTCTGTGGTGTAACTGACACACAAATGATACACTGCAGCTGTGCATGCATCTTACGCAGCCCCGGCAGCCAGTGTCACAGCTACTGACACCTTTTTTTGTACACGCCGGTAGTGCTCGAACCCACACAAGTGGCCCAACGCTCGCCGGGGTCGCGCGTATGTCAGCAGTGGTCCTTCAAATGCAGCGAGATCATATAGGTGGGCGCACAAAACGCCTCCTGTGTAAACGACGGTAGGTGGAAGCAACATCTCTGAATTATCGATTGGAAGCTAAAGAGTCACTCATGAGAGGTCCTGGGGTCTTAGCACTATCTTTTCAGCCCCCAGATGGCAGGGACAGCGTGTCGGGTCACCACTAGATGGCAGCTCAGCTCAGCCAGACGTGGTGGTTCTCACAAACTCCGCAGGGCGGCGCTAGTAGCGCGGCCGGAGGAGGCAGAGCGTCAGGGAGAGGGCCCCCAGGGCGGCGGCGGGTGTCAGCGCCGCCGGGGCCGAGTTACAGAAGTTACCACGACACATGCAGAGCACCTGTCCCTGTTTGGTGGCCTTGGTGCAGCGCTCCTCGGCCGAGGAGAAGCAGCTGCGCATCTCGTTACCGCGGTCGTCTGGAAATGAACAAGTGGGGGGGGGGGGCGTCAGATGATGAGGAATGGAGAAAGAGCGTAACTCTCAACGAACACAGGATGCGACAATGTTGAACCACAGCAATGTATTCGTAAGCGGTCCAGTCAATATACGTCTGATAGGAGTTGCTGATTTGAGCTAAGTATACATATATGTATACTTAGCTCAAATCAGCAAATTATATATAATTACGAGAATAACCGCACTTATGACTGCACATTAAATGTTATCTACAACTTCGTTATAAGCAATATGTGCAGTCGTTACAATATCTAAATTGTTTGAGGTATATAAGAATCCCCACCACTTTGCATTCCTACACCAGTCGATGGGCACCTGTCCGTCCTAGAATCCCGAGCTACTGAACCGTTTTGGAAGCGGCAGCCGCCTCCTCCGCACGTATCTCTATTGTCACCATTTGTCTTGCTTAGCGGGCGAGTGGTCACGTGGCGCCATGATCACGTGCCGCAGTGGGCACGTGTGCCGCTGGTGGCACGCACACCGGACGCGGGCTGGACTCCGTCGGCCGGCCGGCCGGAGGCATTAGTGACACAGGTCGTTAGTAGCGGTCAGCTGCAGTGGCCATTACCGCCCAGGAGAGGCCGCCGCGGGCCGCCGGGGGCCGCCGCGGGCCGCCGCGGGCCGTCGGGGTCGGAATCGCCGCGGACGTCGGTAGGACGGTGATATGAGAGGAGAGGGTGGGGGTGCGGGACGAACAACGCACACCTCAACCTGGTTCCACAGGCGTATGCGTGACCTGGTCACCGCACCATGATAGATATTGCACAAATGGACTACACCGCGTCATTTGCCGGGGCGCGGCGGCAGCCAATACTGAGGAACATAGCCGAACCGGATCACACGGGCCCGGTGGGGGCCATCACTCCAATCAACCCGCATCGAATGGAAACCCGATCGTCATCACGCGAGAATCACATGCGGCCTGAACGAGCGAGAATAAATGGCGCTGAGAAAATGGCTGCGTTGTGGAGAGTTTTATTTCCACCGCTGATTGATCAATGCTTTGTATGCAAGCTAGCTTGATGGTGATATTACTTTCATAGATCTATTCATTGGCTTATTGTGTGGAACGTCTTAATTTATAGGTCAGTACAAATGACGGAAAGAAAACGGTAACGGCTAAGGCGCCAACCCTTGATGGCGATTCACAGATACCTATTACCTACCTGCTCCCACCTTCTAGCTTGCTTAGTATTCACGATGATGTGCAATCAGATTGAGTTTACCGCATACAATATCGATCGTATTGGTTCTTTTAATCGGTCCTAATTTAGAAAATGTTTTTTTTTTTTTTTTTGCTTGTTGACTTCTTGATAAAGATTGGTATACCCGACTTGAAATGCAAATATCGATTATATGAATCGAATATATGCAACTATTGAAGCGCATTTCTTTTACCGCCAATAATGAACGATAATCACACGTAAAGCACACCCAAAGATCTCAATTGGCAGTAGAATTAGCAACAGGCAGCAGTGGCAGTACATACCTAAATCAATACACGTATGAAAATGTAAGTATGCATAAGCATACTGAGTACTGACCTCTGATTTTGATGCAGGACCGGTTGAGGCCGACCGGGCAGGTCATTCGGAAGCGGTCATCGGGCGCGTTAGCTCGTATCTGGTCGCAATGCGGGAAATAGACGGTTTTGTTGGCGATGGTGGCTGGCAGCGGCACGCCGGCGATCTGTTCCCGGGGCACACAGGCGTAGCAGCTGAGAGCGTCCGCGCCTGAGGCCGAGGGTCAGTCGGGTCACAAAAGGGTTACAAAGAAACACTATCGGCAGTTCATAAACAGGAAGATACAGTTTTGTCGATTACGTACGAGGTCTGAAACGGGAGGTAAAACTTTTAAGCTCATCTAAGTCCACAGACATCGCTGCCCCTCACAAACATCAAGCCAGAGAAATAACTGGTAGGTACGCCTCTGGAGTCTGGATAGCCAAGCGAATGGTTATACCTAAGGTCAGGTTTGTCACGTGATACCATTAAAGGTCAATGGAGAAAATACTAAATTGCTAGAATGGTGCCAGAAATTAGCTTGGATTAACTCAAAGAGGTCACCAATAAATTAGATCTTAAAATTGAAAGCCAGTCGCTGCCGCTGCGTCTCCACGGCTCACACGCAACTTTTTCGGCGAGGATATCATCCCCTCGACATCCTCGTCTCCCTCGACGCATGTACATACATAGAGCGCCAATATCGTGCGGCGAAGTCTGAGGCAGTGAGGCACAACGTCAAAATGACGTCATTTTTGCTTCATTTTAGGCAAACTTATCAGTTTCTCATATATACTTGGGTTATCGCCTTACCTTAACCTATATTGTGGATGATTGATGGGGAGAAATTCCGAATTACTGAAGGCTAGTGGCAATATAAGCATTTCTTTATAAATAGGTATGCATCGAGGAAAAATGGTACAGGCTTTTACATGTACCCTGCGAATCCAGATCAGTTGACATACAGCCTATAAGTGCACCCATCTCAAAACAAGAATTTTAACCCGCGCATGACTGGGGGGGGGGGGGCTCTACAATGCCCCCTCACGTTTTTCAACAATATCTTCTAAGCCATTTGACGGATCAACACGACACTTGTGGTACCTTCTGCGACATCAGTTTGACACCTTGTGTGAGAATTTCAACTTTCTAGTTGCCACAGTTAGGCCGAAAATGACGTCAGAGTGACGTCATGTCGGCCGAATTTGATGCAAAATATTGAATTGCGGCAAACGCTCTCAAGAGCTCAGTTTTAAAGCTAGATCCAATTAGCATGAGTGAACTACAAATACACGTTGCTATCAAATTACAACCTCGAATTTTCGAAATTTAAAAAAAATTGTAAAAATATGTTTTTACAATAATAATAAATATATTTCTTAGAAGTTTTTGATTTTTTTCGCCAAGACCGGAACACATATATGTGATAGAACATACGCTGGTTAAGTACTCTAGCAAGTTTTAGCCCAATATGTTCAAAAATAGCGAAGTTATTTGCATTATCGTCAACATTTTACAAGGTATATATTTTTCAAAACCATTTTCAGTACGTTTTTGACATTGTACAGCAATATAAATGGCACCATCGAGTTCCTGAGCTCAAAAACTGCACCTAATAGGCACCTTAATTTTTTGTTGGAAAATTTCATATTCAACATTTACCTTTTCTGCCACGAAAGTGACCTGACCTGCGGTAAATTCAGTTGAAAATGACCTCAAACAACCCAGATGACATTGTTTTCGAAATCTACGAGGGAAATGGTTCATAAAACATGCGTCACGTGAATGATACATGATATACGATTTTCGTGAACTGTCATCTAGGATGACCTGGCCTTGGCCTGAAAAATTCGAAGTAAAAGTTCGGTACCCTCTGGGTATCTAAGGCATATATCAAGGAGTGCGTAAACCAGAAATGAGCCTGACCGGACTTGTCAGCCGGCGGTCAGAGCCTAAATTGTGAACAAGCTAGAATGTTAATAATTTTTATTTTGACCTGACCTGTGACGTCATCGGTGACCTCGAGGGCAATGAAAATAGGTTTCGCTCAACAGTTTTTCCAGAGGGGCGTTCCACGACAAATCGACAAATAAAAAATTAAATTTGCACCCTCATATTTTATTCTTCGTTGAAAACTGGTGTAAGGGGTTGTGATGGGCGGGGAAGCCAGCTGTGGAAAGGATTTTTTTCTTCGATCAACGGTTTCCGAGATATAGCCTCGGGCAATTCCTGGAGTTCGCGCTGCAGTCCTATGTTTGGCGGCCTATAACTCAGAAACTATTGGTTTTTTTACGATAAAAACTTTATATGGTTCAACTCACAATCAACCAACAAACATTTTGGCTATCTCGGATTTTCAATTTTTGAAAATTTTGATCACGTGACCTTTTGTCCTATTTTTCGAAGAGTAACCTTGATATTTTCCCCACTGAAAGTTGCAATTTTGTCTGATGACGATTAAAGCCTTATCGATTGTCATTCATATGCGATAATAAAAAGTGGTTATCGCCCTGCGTTGACCTCAGGTCAGGTCATTTTTATGACCTGTCCATTATTACGAGCGGAAGCGACAGCGAGATCTCGAGAATAAAGCAAGATAGCGACAAGCGGTAAACGGTAAAGGGTACAAACGGATAAGGTCTATAATTTTTACTGAGGTCATTTTCAGGTCAGGTCAAAGATGACGTCACAGGAGCTAAAAGAAAGTCAAAATAGCGGCACTATACATATATATGAAGTGTTTCTCGAATAACTTTCAAGGTATCCCAGCTAGGAACAAACTAATAGCACCATCGTGATCTTCTCGTCGATCCGCATCGAAACATATGTAGGTATGTTGACCTCGAAAGGTCGAAAGGTCAAAAGTTAACCTTAGATCACGTGACCTAAGGTCAACTTTTGACCTTTCGACCTTTCGAGGTCAACATACATATGTGTCGATGCGGATCGACGAGAGGATCACGATGGTGCTATTAGTTTGTTCCTAGCTGGGATACCTTGAAAGTTATTCGAGAAAAACTTCATACATATGTATAGTGCCGCTATTTTGACTTCCTTTTAGCTCCTGTGACGTCATCTTTGACCTGACCTGAAAATGACCTCAGTAAAAGTTATAGACCTTATCCGTGTGTACCCTTTACCGTTTACCGCTTGTCGCTATCTTGCTTTATTCTCGAGATCTCGCTGTCGCTCCCGCTCGTAATAATGGACAGGTCATAAAAATGACCTGACCTGAGGTCAACGCAGGGCAAAAACCACTTTTTTATTATAGCATATGAATGACAATTGATAAGGCTTTAATCGTCATCAGACAAAATTGCAACTTTCAGTGGGGAAAATATCAAGGTCACTCTTCGAAAAATAGGACAAAAGGTCACGTGATCAAAATTTTCAAAAATTGAAAATCCGAGATAGCCAAAATGTTTGTTGGTTGATTGTGAGTTGAACCATATGAAGTTTTTATCGTAAAAAACCAATAGTTTCTGAGTTATAGGCCGCCAAACATAGGGCTGCAGCGCGAACTCCAAGAATTGCCCGAGGCTATATCTCGGAAACCGTTGATCGAAGAAAAAAATCCTTGCCACAGCTGGCTTCCCCGCCCATCACAACCCATTAGACCAATTTTAAGCAAAAAATAAAATATGAGGGTGCAGGGCACTTGTCGATTTGTCGTGGAACGCCCCCAGAGCTATCAGACGCCGTTTGAATTTTGACGATCGGCCCAGAAGTTTCGGAGATAGAAGATCTGGAGAGCCCCTCCCCCCCCCCCCCAGCCACTTGCGTTATGGAAAATATCCCATTCATGCGCGGGTTAACGCGAACAAACGATCCGCTGCACTGGGCTCGAAGGCCACCTAAATCAAGCAGTAAAATTTGATCTCTCCATTGCCTTGTCCACTTCAGCTCGATCCCGCTAATGGTAACTCCCAGCCCGGCTCGATTTCTGCCACCGCCCGGTAACTCACCTGTTGTGCTCAGAACAGCGACTATCACCAGTCCGGTACAGATCGTGTCCATAGCCGGGCTCGCCGGTGCACGCGCGCCCGCTCGCCGCGCCCCGCGGAGCCACACCGCCGGCGACGGTACTCCGGAGTCTGCCCCTGTGTCTGGCTGACTGGCGTCAGCAGGCCGCCACTCTGTCGTCGGACCCGTCACGCACGGCGCAACTCTTCGTCGGCTGGATAGGAGCCTACTGGAGCGACGCGGGGCCGACAGGCGCGCGGTGCAGGACGGTCCGGGAATGGGCCGGTCTTGGTGATGGAGGTTAAGGAGGCAGTGTATAGTGCAGCGGACCCTTAGCGGTCCTGTAATGGCGCAGCAGCGCCCGTGAAGTGGCTGTGGTCGATAGGGCGCCTTCTTCAATGCATTGCTTAGAACGCTTAGTGCTTACGAGAAGGCTTTGGCATCTCGAAGAGGCTTAGCCGACGGCAACGCCCTAAGAGCTCGGAGCCTCTCCAAACCTGCCGCCGTGAGCTGTTTTGTTGTGCTTAAACGTGATAGGGTAGGGTGGGGTAATTTGAACATGTGGGGCAATTTGAACATAGTGTGAAAAACACAAAATTACGGAAAATCCATAAGTGGCACGACAATAAGACCAATGAGGGAAATTATCGTAACTAAAAGGGCTATCATATGAACAGGGTTTAAAGTTTCAGGGAATGAAGATGTTGACGCACACTGTAAAAAATCAATTTCGCAAGTAAAAACGCCTAAAAACACGTCATTGCAACTTCATTGCAGCGCAAAATCTTGCATTGCTAGCGCCTAATACGCAACGGCTTTTGTTGTACAATGACCTAATCATTGCCTTTAATCAAAGAAATTTGCTTTTGTAACCTGTTTTTAAATATGGCAAAATAACTTTTAGCGTGGGGTAATTTGAACATAGTGTGAGAATTTTAGTGAAGACAGGGATAGCTCCGAAAAAAACAACGCTCCCAGTTTTTTTTTGCCAATATTTTCGACCCAAAGCAGTAGCAGATTAGTGATGCCAGTTTTATAAAATTTACGTCTAATATCCGTCTAATGTGCGGCATTTTCGTTGATTTCCGTTCAAAAATGTTAAAGTCAGCCATTTGTCCAAATATGTCCGAAAGTTACGCATTAATCAACACTCAAAACTGTCATTTAAATTGCTTATAATGTAATTTTACCAGCCGAAAAGTGTTCATTATATTGATAGCTTAACAAGCTTTCCATTCGCCAATCAATGCTATGCACGATTACTTTATAAAATGAGCTGAAGTGTAGCAAGCCATCGTCCAATGTTGTCCAGTCTGCTACCTTTGTCCAACCAATTCCGAATTGGACATTGGACAAAATCAGAACTCCAAATGTCCAGGTTTCGGTTGGCACCACTATAACAGATGCAGTAAGGTTGGGAGAGTTTTTACCGAAGAAAAATGATAGACGTTCTGTTAATTGAAGAGAGGCGAATTCTGTCAACTGACCGGTGTGCAGCGTGCAGATATTGATACTCAGCAACAGGGGCGGATCCAAGGGGGGGGGTCACATGGGTCATGGCCCCCCCCCCCTTGAGGCCCGGGGGCCCAAAGACCTTCCAGGGGCATCACCGGCCTATCAGGGGTATCACAGTCCTGACAGGGGCACCACAGGACCGCCAGGGGCACCACAGGCCTAGCAGGGACACCACGGGCCTGGTGCCCCTGGGCCCTGACAGGACTGTAGCGCCCCTGACAAGCCTGAAGTGTCCCCGGCAGGCACGTGGTGCCCCTGACAGGCCTGAGGCGCCCCTGCAAGGCCGGTGGTGCCCCTGGCAGGCCTGTGGTGTCCATGGCAGGCCTGTGGTGCCCTTGCTAGGCCTCTGGTGCCCCTGACAGGCTTGTAATGCCCCTGGAAGGACTGTGGTGCCCCTGGGCCCTGACAAGCCTGAGGTGCCCCTGACAGGCCAGAGGTGCCCTTGCTAGGCCTGTGGTGCCCCTGACAGGCCTCTGGTGCCCCTGACAGGCTTGCGGTGCCCTTGGAAGGACTGTGGTGTCCCTGGGCCCTGACAAGCCTGAGGTGCCCCTGACAGGCCCGTGGTGCCCTTGTTAGGCCTGTGGTGCCCCTGGCAGGCCTCTGGTGCCCTTGCTAGGCCGCTGGTGCCCCTGGCAGGCCTCTGGTGCCCTTGCTAGGCCGCTGGTGCCCCTGGCAGGCCTCTGGTGCCCCTGCGCCCGGAGAGGACTGGTGCCCCTGAAAAGTCTGAAGTGCCCCTCGGCAGGCCCGTCGTGCCCCTGACAGGCCCAAGGTGCCCCTGCGAGGCCGGTGGTGCCCCTGGCAGGCCTCTGGTGCCCCTGGCAGGTCTGTGGTGCCCCTGGCAGGTCTGTGGCGCCCCTGGCAGACCTGTGTTGACTGGTGCCCCTGATAGGTCGCTGGTGCCCCTCACAGACCTGTGGTGCCGCTGGGCCTTGACAAGCCTGAGATGCCTGGCTATGACAGGCTCGTGGTGCCCCTGATAGACCAGTGGTGCCCTTGCTAGGCCTGTAGTGCCCCTGGCAGGCCTCTGGTGCCCCTGCTACCCCTGCGCCCTGAGAGGACTATGGTGCCCCTGAAAAGCCTGAAGTGCCTCTCGACAGGCCCGTGGTGCCCCTGGGCCCTGACAGGCCCAAGTTACCCCTGCGAGGTCGGTGGTGCTCCTGGCAGGCCTCTGCTGCCCCTGGCAGGTCTGTGGTGCCCCTGGCAGGCCTGTGTTGACTGGTGCCCCTGCTAGGCCGCTGGTGCCCCTCACAGGCCTGCGGTGCCCCTGGAAGGACTGTGGTGCCCCTGCCCCTAGGGGTGCTCATGGGCCCAACAGGCCCGTTGTGCCCCTGACAGGCCTGTCGTGTATACTTGCTAGACCTGTGGTGCCCCTGCTTCCTGGCAGGCCTGTGGTGCCCCTGGCGGGCCTGTGGCGCCCCTACAAGGCCGTAGGTGCCCCTGACAGGTTTGTGGTGTCCCTGAAAGGACTTTGGTGCCCCTGACAAGCCTGAAGTGTCAAGGACAGACCCTTTAGACGCCAGGGTCAAGTTCGTCGGACTGACAACGATTTGCTTACCTGATAACGTTCCTGGTAAGTACTCATTACTCAGCGTCCACAACATATATACACATAGCACATTCATATATACTTGCTTACAATTGGTAAATGTGGTTGTGGCTAAGAGGTAAGATACTGACTAAAAATAAAAAATAAAAATAAAAAACTGAAAATGGGGGCACCACCAAAATGAAGTGGACGAAATCCGTTGAGTTTTTAATTTTGGGTATAGGTAGGGGCACCACTTCGATTCATGACCCTCCCCTTGGAGTTTTCCTGGATCCGCCCCTGCTCAGCAACCGTTATTTTTGATGTTGTGTTGATTTTTCAAGTGAAGGTATGTTTAGAATTGTTCTGCCTATTTGTTTATGGGTCAAACAACATCGGTGCTGGCGAGACTATCGTTTTTTATGACAGGTAAAGGCAGTATGTTCAAATTACCCCACGGTGGGGCAATTTGAACACACCGTGACTTGGTGGAGAAGTGAGGCTATGCTATTCAAGGTATGCTCCGCTCGTTCAAAAATGAGGCTTGCATGGTGAAAGCAAGTGACACTTGCGCTACTGAAGCAGTTTTTCTTCATCCAGGGTTGAGCTGAAATTTGGTACAACGGAGAAGACTTACTTACTTACTTACTCTTACTAAGAGTAAGTAAGTAACGGAGAAGACGTAAAAATATGTTCAAATTACCCCACACTACCCTAGTCTTTGGGTCTAAAAATATGTGGTTAACCCATTGTTGACGCCGTTCTGCCCTGTCCCTTATCAGGCTAAACCTGATACTCCATGAGCTGAATATTTAGGTTAGTTAAATGTTGTTTGTTGTTAATTGTTAATTGTTGAAAAATGTTGTTCTTACGTGTAGGCACGCTAGTTTGCGACCTTTTCTACTTTAATCAATTATCGTTGCCTCCTGTATTCAGCTCGGCAGGCTGTTGCAGACAGCACGCTTTTTTGGAAGTTGATAAAATGCGAATAACATTTGTCTTCTCAGAACGTCATTGGTTTACCGGACGGCGCGTTCTGGCACACTCGTGCACACTGCACAGCGCTGTCCGTCTCCTGCCGCGACCGGGCGCGTCTCCTGGGAGACGGAGACTCCTCAGAGACGTATCGACCCCACGCCCCGGCATACCGTGCTAATAATCACCCGAGCTGGCGCAACCAGGCGGCGACCGTTCCGACTGCCTCCCCGAGTGACCACTCGCCACGGGTGCTGTGCGTCGCCGCCATGGTGTCGTCAGCCTACCAGCCAAGTGGCAAGTGCCATTCAGGTCTCGCCACGCGCTCTAATAGCTCTCATCCGGGTGGGAAGGGTGTTTACTGTTTTTCACTTTGCGTTCCTCCGATAACTCAATATCAGCAATCAGCATGCCATTATGTAAGCTTTGACACAGAGACAATGTATTTCCTGACAGGAAGGGAAACACAATGTCCAATGGGTTATTGAGGATCGTTTCTACCGGGAAGTTGATAAAATGGATGGATGGAGCGGGGTAACTATCGCGCCAGTCTCTTTACCTACATCTAGGCACCAATAGCTAAATCGCATCATATCTTTTGAGATTAACCTTCCAGTCCAGGCGGTGGGGGGGGCATTTTTTTGCCCCCTTTTAGTTTTTTCGATATATCTCGAGAACCGCTGCGCCGATCGTCACCAAACTTTCGGTACCCTCCCGGGAGCAGCTAGCGCACATGGTGACCAAAATTTTTTCCAAAGGCTATGATAGGTTGGCCGCTAATGACGTCAGAGTGACGTCATTTTTGCCATTTTCGACCCAAAAAAAGGTTTCGCGGGAAGAGTTGTCAGGCCTACAGCTTTAGAGATATAGAAAAATGTTTCAGACATAAAAGGTGTAGAATTATAAGGGCTACAAAACTGCTATTTCGGTTTTTCGAATTTTTTGGATTTTGACCCCCAAAAATAAAAAAATAGATTTTTTGAATATAATACCAAAAAATCCAAAAAGTTTTTTGAATTTCGAAAAAACCGTAATATATGTGATAGTTCCTACCACCTTCTACCTACATACCAAATTTGAGATCGATACCTCTTTTTTTTTGGCCAAGTTATAGCGAAAAAACTGTTCAAAATTGATGACGTCAAATTTTCAAACTCAATTTTTAGCAATTCTAGACCTCGTAGCGCAAAACAAAGACCACCATTAGACTCCCCGTGAACTCGTGTTCCCATAAACTGCTGAAAACGAATGTGCCCCATGTGTGCCCCTGAAAACGAATGTGCTACCTAATAGCCAATAGGTATACCTACCTACTATTTGTTTGGGTTAGGTCAGGTTAAGGTGTTGACCTCGGGCCAAGAACAGGTCAGAGCAACTCAGATCACAAAGCTCGTCGAAAGAGGTCAAATTGCATACCTACCTATCATTCGATTCGGCAGGTCTTCCCAAGTCCATTGGTGGATTCCCCCATTCGCTAGCCTAATTTGATCGAGACTCGAGAGTTATTGATAAAACTTAAGACCTTAGTGACGTCATGACGTCACGCAAGGTCAACGATGCAAAAGTGAAGAATCAGATCTTGCAAGGAGCGCATGAAATTACCAGTATAACGCCTTTTGGGGCGACTAACGGAGCGAGCGAGAGGGTGGGCCTTGCACGTGCGAAATTGCGAGGGGGTACCTCCAACTGACTTGTGCACGGCACCCTACTCACTGGTCTCTAGCGATGTGCCAAATTTGGGCACAATCGGCCCAGCCGTTCTCGAGATCTGGAAGCGGCACCCTGCACGTGCGCACGTGCAAAATGGGTCCCAACTGACTTGTGCACGGCACCCTACTAACCGGTCCCTAACCGTGTACCAAATTTGAGCGCAATCGGTCCAGCCGTTCCCGAGATCTGGAAACGACCCCTGCACGTGCGCACGTGCAGCAGCACCCCAACTCTGGCACATGTATATGTAGTGCCTAGTGGGTGCCTACCTACATGCCAACTTTCAGCGCAATCGGCCAAGTAATTACCGAGATATTGCAACAATTACAAAACTGACACCTCTTCGTTTTGCACGTGGCACGTGCATAAGGGGTCACCCACATGCATCGGGAATAGTCCAATACTTGGTAGAAGGAATGAAGCTACCCTACAAAAAGTACCGCGTGTAAATCGGTCAAGTGGTTGCTGAGATATAAGCCTCGCAAAAGCGTGACCACGGCCGGCCGGCCGGCCGGCCAGCCGCTCATACTCAGAAATTTCCGTTAATCTAAGGAAAGACTACGCTCGCTTCGCTCGCTCCGTAACAATTCCATGCGCCTGGGATAGTTTTAGATCATTCTTGGCGCCAAAATAACAGGTTCCATGATTCCCTCATTGACTTATAATATCCAGGTCACGTGACCGATCTGACATAAGGTGACCCTTCGGAAAAAAATCCGAGATATACCAAGTTGTGAGACATCTGGAAGATACTAGGCCCCGTAAATCTGTCTGTGAATGCTCCTCTGGGACTGAGGGCGCTGCGAAATTGCGACATTTTAGGGCCGTGCAGAGGTTCTCTCATGACGTCATAGGTCAGTGACCTGACCTGACCTAAAAATGTGGTAGTGTTTCGTTTCAAGACTTAGCTGGAATCAAAGGTCAGGTATGCCAGGTTTCAGCTTTTTTCTCCGGCGTGTTCCGAGCAATCGAAAAAAATAGGGGGGGGGGGGGCACCTTTCCGCTTAGTTTTTATTTACGAAAGCTCGGAGTACGCTGAGATAGAGAGCTGAAGTTTGTCATAACTGACGCTCGATTCAAGCCGGATCTTGTGATACCAACCGCATTTTCAGGTCGGATCAGGTCACTGACCATTGGGTGACCTGACCTACGGGCTATACAAGTTATGATCCAGGAACTTGTTTCTTACTGAAAATTCACTATCATTGAAGAGTAAACGCGCTTCACCCGCCTCGGTGTTGAGGTGCTTAGAGCAGCCGGACCACCGTGCATCCGTGCGGTTTTAACTCGCGGCACAAGCGGTAATGACGATAGGATTTCAACACTCCAGGATCGAATTCCCAAATTGTTAAAATATCAGATAGCGGTATATCAGTGATGTTACCATAAAACAGCTTCCCATTTTCCCAATGTTCAAAGTCGTAGGTGTTTTTTCTTGCATATCTCACACCACCCACCATTCCCAAGCTTGACGGTAATACGTACCCCTGGTGTGTCGCCCCGCCAACACGCTCCCAGTGTTACGCCATTTGCCCCGTGGAGCTACATCGCCCAGCTAGCGTCAGTTACGGCCGCGGACGTGGGAATATCAGACGCCAAGTAGAACGTGTGTTCAGTTTTATTTGTTCACCGGTGAGATTCAAGTTGCAGCTGACAATCTCCAGATGAACGAGTCTTCTAAAAAAAGATTTTTACACCGGCCCTTGTCAATACAAGAGCCTGAAGCTACAGTAGAGATGATATATACAACAATCTACAAACACAAAATGCATAAGTCCTACGCTACCGAACCAAAGCACACCTGGTTCACCGAGCGCTTCTCCCGAGGCTCGCGATGGGGACACCACGACCGGGTGCGCTGGGGCCCGGCCAGCTGCGCCGGCCCCTCTGCCCGTCCCGAGGCCCATAGCCCCTGTAGCAAACAGCCAGTGACAGGTACAGACGCGGCGAGCTGCCCGCGGCGGCACGCTCCCACCCGCCGCTCGCGCAACCCACTCATGAGATTATGAAAGCTCCGATTTCTATGGCACGCGACCGACGCCGGCCGGTCACACGGCGTGAAGGAGGCCGCGGGGCCCGGCCGGGCGCACCGGCTACACAGGATAGAGCGGCCCCGCCGCGGCCGAGCGGGCACCGGAGCGACCGGCGCCAGCGCCGCCCTGGTGCTGCTACACCTGTCCCATCCCCCGACACCATATCCATAAAATCAACTCATTAAATATGATTTTCTTATAAAAATAGATGCTGACCTGAGTGAAGACGGTATGAGATATAAAATATATCGGTGCGGAAAGCACGCAGATTTGGAACGACTCGTTCCTTGGCGGTTCGCGTCACGCAGAACCCCCTGAGATAGGGACCTCATTCGTTCTTCATTTACCACACTTAATTCGAACGACGCTGGCACACTACTCGTGCGCGGAAAGCTCGCCTGGCTTCATGTGTCTGGCGCTCGTAAGGAAACATGCACAGTTCCGCGTTCCGGCCGGCGCTAAGTAAGTGGCCGGTACGGTCCGTCCGTGTCCGGTCCAGTGCGGAGAGCACAGACTCTGGATCAGTCACCACCGGCGGCGCGGCCGCGGAGCGAGCCAGCCAGCGCTGTTTGATCGCCAGGGCGATCGATCGGCCGGCCGGCCGCGGTGTGTGTTACACATGAGCCGTCGTTAGTGGGGGCACAGACTGTGACCGGTCACAGCCGGCGGGCATAGCGCAGTCAGAGAGCCGGGACCTCGCCGATCCGGCAGGTCAACGGTAGTACCGGGAATCATTTGCACACAACACGGAGTTAATCAGACGGCGCACAGCGCAAGCAATCCCTCGTAACTCAATAAGCAAAATATGCATGAAATGACCGATTCAAATTAGGTAGGTACAACTATACACTATACACTTATGCGTTGACGGCTGTAAGTCACAAGCGCATTGCATATATAGTTAGGATTTCTGGAGTATTTATGGTGATCTGCCAGCCTTTTGTACTTTGATAAATATAGATAAAATATGCACCGAATCAAGCCAGGTTCCATGGATTCACTTTACCATGCAGGCACCGTTCCCTAATAACCCTGGCTGCCAATTGTCGTCAATGATTCTCCATCGGCATCACCAGCTTTGATAAAATAATGAAAACCTACTTCATGGAACAAACTACAGAGTTGAAAACTGCAAAGCGAGCATATTCTACCGACTTACTACGCAGAGATAGTAAACTAAGCCCGGCTAGTTGGATCAATATCAGTAAGAAAAGCTGCACAGCATCAGAACTTACCATAGCATCGGTCCTTTTTGGTGGTTGCAATTAGGTACTGGATTCATGTAAAAGCTCACAAGCTCGAGTTCCCGTGATCGCCGGCAGCATCACCGTAGAAAACCGTATGCCGGTCCTCTGGGAGCGGCTTCGGTTCACCGATCCGCCACAGTGTTCTCAGGCACTGGATGACGACGGGGCGGCGCCCTCGGGACCCTCGCCGGCGCCGTCCGCCACCAGCTGCTCCCAGATGTTGGTGCGATTGTGCACGCCGGCCGCCCAGGTGACCTCGAAGAGCAGGTCGCGCGCCCACGGCCTGCCGGCCAGGAAGGCGCGCAGCAGACGGCGCATGGCCGGCGTGGGCCGCGTCACCCCCAGCTGGCGGCCCAGCCGCGCCGCGGCGCCCGCCAGCTTCTCCAGGAGCGCCAGCGTCCGGCCCGAGCGGCGGGCCGCGCACCGGACAAACACCGTGTCCAGGATATCCATCTGGAAGCGCTCCGGGCCGGCGCGCTCACGCAGCAGCTGTCCGCGCCGCTTCAGCGTGGCGCAGCCGACCGCGGAGCCGTCCTCGGCGAACAGCAGCAGCGCCGAGTCGCCCGGCGGCGGCGGGCGGAGCGCCGGCTCGCGCCGCGCCGCCGACCGCTCGCGCTCGCCGTAAATGTAGACGAGCAGCAGATAGAGGGCGGCCCGGTCGGCCAGTGAGGTGACCCGGTGCCAGCCGGGACCGCGGCGCTGGGTGTCCCGCAGCAGCACCTCCAGAGGCGTCCAGACGGCGCCCACGCGCACGGCTACGCACCAGTCGCAGGCCGGACAGCGCAGTGCCTCCAGACCTCTATCAGCGCCGCTGCCGCCGCCGTCCGTCGCTAGGAACTCTGCCGGCACGCCGGGCGGCGGCTGCAGCTCGGTCCTACGGTGGTGGGGCGGCCCGCCCTGCTGGGACGCCGACAGACACATCGTGCCGCAGTCCGGACGAGGACACACCACTGAAACACACCGGCCCATCCGCCGTCAGCTGCCGCCGAAACGGGGGCGCGGCCGAGACTCCAAACGGAGGGGGAGAAGGGGACCGTGACCTACACTCGTGGCACAAATGAGCGACTTCATTCTTGTTAGGCATTTACAACGAAACAAGTCAAAGTCTAAGTAAAACCCCACATTAACCCTCGCCCATGTAGGGGGGGGGTTGGTGCAACCCCCCCCCCCCCCTGAGGTTTTTCGGAAATAGTGCAAAAACGGCGGCGCGCAGCGCCGCCAAATTTTGGGTACCTTATGGGGCAAACCTTGCGCATCTTTTGATAAAAAAAAATTTGACCGGGTCATGTCAGGTCACGGAGTTATGACGTCACAAAGGGAACAGCCTCCGGCCGGATTTTCACAAACTGAGTGCCAACGCCCGAGGTTTCCTGCCGGTGGTACGGAGATCGGTTGATGGATCGTGATGAAACTTCCCATGCATGTTGGGGCAAGTATTGGCTATCATATGGTATAAGAAACTTGACCGGGTCAGGTCAGGTCACGGAGCTATGACGTCACAAGAGGAACAGCGTCCGGTACTATTTTGAAAAGCGCCCGAACCACTATTTTGCTATTTCTTGTCACCTCAATGGGAATATGCAGCAATATTAGCTTCTATAGGGAGCAAATGAACCTCCCAAATCCAAAAATACAATCAGATTTCAAAAATTTAAATTTTTATTTTTCGAATTTCTGCCGCCGACTGTGACCTTGCCGACTTCCGGCGCTCCCAACGCGCCATTTTTAGAGCTAGGGAAACGAAATACATACCAAACGATAGAGAATTGATCAAGGAACACGATAGTGAAGGTTTCAAGTCGATATCTTCCACCGTTTTGCCGCAATCGCCACCGAAAGTTGAAAAAAGTATATTTTTCCGAAAATTTGACCTTTGACCGGTCAAAAGTAGGTCAAATGTTGACCTAGGACCAAAAATATACCACCAATCGCGAGATCTCGGCGAGAGCAATCCGTTGGTCTTTTCCGCTAAGCTCTACGACGCTCCGTTTTCAAACGCCAAGGGGGGGGGGGTCGCACCCCCCCCCCCCCCCTGCATGGGCGAAGGTGGCAGATCGCCGTTTACGGGCGAGGGTTAAGGTTGAAAAGCACCAAGCAATAAATATCTAATTAAGTTGGTATACCCCTATCAAAGGTCACTGGAATCTGTAAGCAGGATTACAAAAATGAAATACCAATATCTTTTTTGTCTTACCCTGAGCAGCACCGCTAGCTGGGAGGGCAGTTGGCGGTCGAGATTCGTCCCCATTCTTATGTAGCTGACGTCCCGCCCCGCGTTCCGAGGTGCCCGATACGGTTCCGCTACGGCCCTGTCAAGGCATGAGAGGACATTGGGTGAATTTAGTGTGACAGCATCAATCCATTTCCCAGATAAACTTCATTGAAAAGTGATGGGGCAAACACTCTGCGGGACTCAATATTCTTGTATGTTTTGAGACAAGATAACCACTGATGTAAAACAATCAGATGAACAATTGTTTCATCCACATTACCTTCTTATCGCATTTAGTGTAAATTCATATTCAAAAAGCAGCTTACTACCTATAACATAACGATCATTAGCAGATCTGACAAGTCCTGTATCATTAGCATTGTTCAATGCCAATCGCAAATGGCAGGACACGACATTTTGAATGAAGTGAGAAAGCGCATAGTCCACCCACCTCTGCAGCGGGCCGCTCTCGAGTGATAGCCGACCCCGGCCGGCTGTGGGGAGTTGGCGGAGGGACGACCGCCTCCGCCTCACTGACGGGACAGAAGAGAACACCTTCAGTCCATCGGGTAGCCCGAAATAAATTACAGCTCGAGGTTCACAGACTCAGGCAGATGTGTGTACTGTGTAGCTTACCCACACAAACAAGCGCCATTACATGAGGCGATGATCACCGCATGGCCCATCGAGTAAATATGAACAAGATGTTGTGACTATGACTTCTGTTGGCAGTCCTAAAAGTCATTGTATAACAACATTGTTTCATATTTTTTTAAGATATCGATAAAAAATGTATCTAGAACGTATAATGAAAACAAGGGTGCCATGACGCGCCCAGCGAAAAGCACGCTGAACAATAATGCGCGTCTCGTCGTACCCCACGATGCAGTGCCCCACCGTACCCTAAGCTCGCCTGCCGACTGCGCTGCTGCTCGCGGCGTCGTTTCAGCGATTGCCGGCAGAGGCGCTGCCGTCGGCTCGACTCCTGGCGTTTCCAGCGATGCAGCGCTGACAGCTAGAGACCAAAACACTGTCAGTCGTTCAATCAAATATTGCCCTATAAGACAACACTGGAAACTACATTTGGTAAGAGCATGACATTTACGCACTACAGTTCAGTGACTGGCACCCATGTTGCTCTTATAATTCGTCCACTGTCAAAGCACCAATTTCAATGTATGGTATTTTCTGACATACAGTCTAGTCCCCACTTAATGAGGGTTGCTAAGCGATATCATTCACTCTAAAAATAAGGAGGATGGGTTTCTTATCACCTGTGTCAGAAAGAACAGAAGCTGTTTCAAAGTCAGGTCTTGAAAAACATCAGTGGCAAACATTCACCCAGCAAAAAGTCAGAAAGATCATATTGGGCTTCTGATGCAATAAATGTGCTTAGAGTGTCCTTGTTCAAACTGGTTCAAACTATCAGCAAAATTGATGGGGTTGGGGATAATATCTCACCAAAAAAACTCAGTGAGCAGCACATAACTCAACTCATAACAAAGATGAACAACTTAGCACTGAACACCAGTTCAAAGATTGCCAGGCATGGACACAAAAGAGGCCATTCTCTAGCTCTAGATAACTATAGGTTAAGTCTAGGCTCTATGTTGGGTTAGACTGGGTTACGTTAGGTTAGATCTAGGCTCTAGGTTAGATACTCACCACAACAGATCCCATGTCCAAGTTATAATTTTCTTGATCATCCAATAATTCAAGATACATCCCTTCAAAGAGCTCCCAGCATTCTTATTTATCAGCCTGCTGCTAGGCTTTATTTAGCTATCCTCCATCCATAATATCAGTACACAATGCAGGCAGCATGTTACGGCAGTCTACGTCCTGCGGGAAAAACATACTAGGTTATTTGAAGTCACACATCATGTCCAGGCTTTATGAAGCAAACTAGTTTGTAGCATTGTACTTTGAAAATGACACATCTACAAACGACAAAGGATTGTACAATCTTCATGAAAAAGAACAATGAGAGCAGGACTACGGAGTCTATGGATTTTTGGGTGATTCGGCTTAGGTACCTACCTAGAAGTTCTTACCACCTAGAAGTTAAAAGGAGAGGACAAGGGAGTAAGAAAGCTTGTGATGCTGCCTCTCATCTTAAGTGGACATAAATTGGTCATACGGGCTTCAAAAAGCAACTTTGACTCTGACTCCATGCTTCTATTAAAATCCATATAATGAAAACAAAGTTCATAGTGGACTATGGAGACAGTGTTGAGTTCGTATTAAAACCCCTTTCTGGTTCCAATCGAGTCCAAAAGATTTTGTTCTCCTTTACAAACCGACACTCACTCCAGCACCCAAAGGCCAAAGCTTTCTATGCTGTTAAAATTGTGCGATAAAAGTCAGGTATTATTACATGCAGTGTTCTAAAATTGGACTTTGGTTGAGTGTGCTGATGAAGGAAACAAATCCTTAAAGAAGTAAGTACCTACCTAAGTTATAACCTAAGTTAACCAGGGGGTTACGGTTCTGGTATCGGTAACCCTGGGGTCACCGGTAGCGTTTTCGTTCAAAGTTAAGGTTTCATTAAGCCGTCGTGCCAAGCCGAAGCATGCTGTGACGTCACTGGGTAAGAGAAGATAGCTTACCACCATACTTACCACGCTATCAGTATCGACTGAGACTCAGATAGACTCATACTGACTCAGGCAGACTCAAACCGACTCGACCGACTCAAACTGCTTCAGATCGACTCAGTCCGACCCAGAACGACTCAAATTGACTCAGACCCTGACCGACTCAGCCGACTTAAATCGATTCCGATCGACTCGGACAGACTCAGAACGACTCAGGCAGACTCAAACTGACTCGACCGACTCAAACCGATTCAGATCGAATCAGACCCACTCAAACTAAGTCAGACCGACTCAACCGACTCAAATCAATTCCAATCGATTCAGACAGACTCAGAACGACTCAGACAGACTCAGAACGACTCAGACAGACTCAGGCAGACTCAGACCGATTCAGATCGACTCAGATAAACTCAGAACAACTCAAACTGACTTAGAACGACTCAACCGACTAAAATCGTTCCGATCGACTTAGACAGACTCAGAACGACTCAGAGAGACTCTAACAGGCTCAGGCAGACTCAAACCAACTCAGGCAGACTCAAACCGACGCAGGCAGACTCAGACCGATTCAGATCGACTCAGACCGACTCAGATAGACTCAGAACGACTCAAACTGACTCAGGCCGACTCAACCGACTCAAATTGATTCCGATCGACTCAGACGGACTCAGGCAGACTCAGGCAGACTCAGACAGACTCGGCACACTCAAACTGACTCGATCGACTCAAACCGATTCAGGTCTGATGATTCAGGTCACCGCTGGGTCTGTCTGAGTCGGTCTTAAATCGTTTTGAGTCGGTTGAGTCAGTTAGAGTCTGACTGAGTCTGTCTGCGTCGTTCTGAGTCTGTCTGAGTCGATCGGAATCGATTTGAGTCGGTTGATTCGGTCTGAGTCAGGTTGAGTCGTTCTGAGTCTAGCTGAGTCGGATTGAGTCGATATGAATCAGTTTGAGTCGGTCGAGTCAGTTTGAGTGTGCCTGAGTCGGTTTGAGTCTGCCTGAGTCGTTCCGAGTCTGTCTGAGTCGATCGGAATCGATTTGAGTCGATCTGAGTCGATCTGAATTGGTCGAGTCACTGAGAGTCTGCCTGAGTCGGTTTAAGTCGTTGTGAGTCTGTCTAAGTCGATCGGAATCGATTGAGTTAGTTGAGTCGGTCTGAGTCATTTTGAGTCGTTTCGAGTCTATCTGAGTCTGTCTGAACTCTGAGTCGACCTGAATCGATTTGAGTCGGTTGAGTCGATCGATCTGAGTCAGTTTGAGTCGTTCTGAGTCTATCTGAGTCGGCCTGAATCGATCTGAATCGGTCTGAGTCTGCCTGAGTCGGTTCGAGTCTGCCTGAATCGGATTGAGTCGTTCTGAGTCTGTCTGAGTCGATCGGAATCGATTTGAGTCGATCGGAATCGATTTGAGTCGGTTGAGTCGGTCTGAGTTAGTTTGAGTCGGTCTGAGTTAGTTTGAGTCGGTCTGAGTCGATCTGAATCGGTTTGAGTCGCTCGAGTCACCTTGAGTCTGCCTGAATCGGTTAGAGCCTGCCTGAGTCGTTTTGAGTCTGTCCGAGTTGATCGGAATCGATTTAAGTCGGTTGAGTCGGTCTGAGTCAGTCGATACTGATCAGGTGGTACGTTATCATCTCTTACCCAGTGACTCAGAGCATGCTTCGGCTTGGCATGACAGCCTAATACAGGAAACCATAGCCTTGCACGAAAACACTACCGGTGACGCCCGGGTTACCGATACCACGGTTCTATGCTGCCACATAGGGAGGGCTCAGTAGACAGATGATGTCACAGGGTGAGGGTGTCAAGGTTTGGTCAATTTTTAAGACTTTGCTGTGCATAAATTATATTTTTTAGGCTCTAAGGGAGCCTAAAGGTTAATATCAAACTGCCTTAGAGTATACAATCCTCGGAAGATTAATATTGGCGAAGATTGGTAGACAAGACACCTACTGATGTCATCTGTCGAGGTCACCGATGTAAACAAACGGCTAACCATTCTACCTCCTATATACGGCCTTGATTTTAAAGTAAATTGATAAATCAGTATTGCATGCAAGGATCTTGAAAGGATCTGAAAGAAAGGGATGTTAATATGGGCAAATATGCTGTCAATCTACCGCCTTTCTAGATCTACTATTATTGCGAAAAAGAGAAAACAAACTCAATAAAGACAAAGATAATGATAAGTGAAACCTTCAGTGAAACAGTTTTGGCAATGACAAAGGAAGCTATGCTGATGCTGATGCGAAAACTATCAAATTTCTGCACACCTGCACCAGTGCCCATCTTGACCTTTATCTTTCGTCCCCCCCATGCAAATTTGTTGTTCTATATGCCCTTTGCCCCCTGTGCCTTGCCCTGTGCAAAACCACAGTGTATATCACGTGTATATAACAAAAATGGAAAATTATCTGTAACTGTAAGAATCTTGTGCAAAACACATGTAAACAAACTTGGCAGCTGCTGTACAAAAATACATGGCGCAGGTGTGGCGTATATGCTTCTTACGACATAGAACGCAGCCGCTAAATAAAATAATCTGATAGTATAGTTTCTGTCTGATTTGAAATAAAATGTTTATTATTCCATAGATTTCAATAATATGGGAGATCGATTTCTTTCTATCATCAAGAATTTAAATATTCATCCTTATGTTCTAAATGTTCGCTGAGAGCTTCTGACATTTAACAAAGGGAAAGGTAAGCCGTCGGGAAAATACGCTAATAATAGGGCTCCGGCTATGTTATATGAGGGTTTTGTATGTAAATGAACTGGAAATGCTGGTCAACATATATACCTGTTACCTGCCTTCCATTACCAAGCCTTAATACTCACTCAAGGTTTATAGGCATGCAAAGTACAGTCCTCCCTCCCCCTCCCTTCCCCTCCGGTCCCCCTCTCTCTCTCTCCCTCCCTCCCTCCCTCTCTCTCCCTCTCTGTCATACCGTCTCTTCTTGTCATATTCTCGGCGCCCTAGGCCTCGTTTCATAAAGCGAGTCCGTAACATACGCCGGTTTTTGGTCTTTGCAAGTGCATGTGAAGCGATGACGATAGTTTGAATCGTTGAACTATTTAGGTATTGATCTTGCAAGCAAGAACAGAAGGGAGAAGGGGAAATTTATCGTTTCACATGCGCTTGTACCTAATTCAAGCCCAAAAACCGGCGTAAGTTACGGACTCGCTTTATGAAACGAGGCCCTGGTGATGGTGGTGGTGGGGGGGGGGGGGCTATTCTTTTGCCTCCCCCCCAGACTTTTCGATATATCTTCATGAAGATATATCGAAGCGGTTCTGCAGAACCGCTGCGCCGATCGTCACCAAACTTTCAGCACCTTTCCGGGCATCACTTTTACACATGGTGACCAAAACTTTTTCCAAAGGCTATGATAGGTTGGCCGCAAATGACGTCAGAGTGACGTCATGTTCTGCCATTTTCGAGTTAAAAAAGGTTTTGCGGGAGTTGTCATGCCTATAGCTTTGAAGATACAGTCAGAAAAATAACACAGACATAAAAGCTGTAGGGGCAAGTGCCCAATCTGCGCCCAGTCTCCTAATTGCGCCCTCGTCATTGACATTTTCTGACTGAACCCAATACCTAGGTTTATTGGTGTTTAGAAAACAATTTATTAATAACAATCATCAAAACAATATTTTTCGACCTACCGTTGCCAGCGTAAGGTTGTAAGCCGCGTACTAAAGTGGTTTTGTAAAATATATTGTTTTCTTATCCTGACTCCTGAGCCTGCTTACTTATTGAACTGTTACTGCTGTTCGTGATCGTGAGGAAGGGCGGTTAACCTTCGCCCCAGTGGGGGGGGGGGGGGGCGGGGGGCATATGTTACCACCCTGTCGCGTTTTTTGCGTGTGAATAAAAAACCGCGGCGCGCAGCGCCGAGCCGCTTGGGGTAGCTTTTGGTACATCAATTTTGGACAATGTGTGAAATTTTTCACCACAGGTCATGTCAGGTCAGGTCACCAGGTCAAGTTAACTGACCAAACCTAAAAAAAGTTTGCAATCATGTCCAGCCTGCAGTGTTTGTCAGAAAGGTTTGAAACTTGGTGGATTGCATGCTGTTATGGGCGCATACAATTTGTATATCTCGATTTTTTTTATATCCAAGACCTAAGGTCATGTCAGTGGCGTGACCTTTCCATTACAAGTCAATGGAGAAAAATGAACATGGTGTGTCGTTTCGGGAACTAGCGACCCGCGGCCGGGCGCCGCGGAGAGGTGCCCGCCATAGGGTTTTGGGGCTATTTTTCACGTTTCGGTCTGAATCGTGAAAAGTACTGGTCGTAGCAAATATGTGCCCGGCCAGCGCCTTAACACGCGCACCGACGGGGGGGGCGGATATCCGCCCCCCCTGAGGTTTTTCGCGAATAGTGGGATAACTGCGGCATGTAGCGCCGCGAAATTTGGTACGACTATTCTCTCATCAATTTTACACATGATGTGCAAGTTTGAACCTCCTGACTTTCAAGGTCAGGTCACCAGGTCACTTCGAATGACCCAACCTCAAGTCACTTTTTTGCAGCTTTGTCACCGTGCCAGAGGTACAGTAGATGTCAGATGCCTTTGAAAGTCGCAGGATAATATAAGGTCATTAGTAACTGCAATTTGTATATCTCGGAATTTTGATACCGGTGACCTAAGGTCAGGTCAATTTCTCGACCTCCCCATTATAAGTCAATGGGGGAAAAATCAACTCCCTGTTTTACCACTAAAACGGGTCGGAATGGCCCCATATACCATACATGACTTTACATACGATCAAAATTCACTACCTTGAGGTCTGTTTTGCTGTTGAGCAGCTGTAAGGTCATGTGACGTCGTCAAAGGTCACCAAATATTTGTTGCCAATAACTCCGTACAGGAACAAGATGCAGCCGCGCGGATGGTCTCATTGTGTTCAGCTCGTCAAGACGCATCGAATGATATACATGATGACCTCGAGGTCACGTGCCCTGAGGTCAACCTTTGACCTTGTCCTTTCTAGGGCACCATATATATATCATTCGATGCTTATTGACGAGAGGATCACGATTATGCCCTTAGTTTGTTCCTATCTTGACTAATTCGAAAGTTATTTGAGAAAAAAACTTATCCATATCTAGCGCCGCCATTTTGACTTTCTGACCCGTGTGACGTCATCTTTGACCTGACCTGAAAATGACCTTTTTAAAAATTGTAGATCTTGTCCGTGCGTATCCGATACCGTTTACCGCTTGTCGCTAGCTTGCTTCGTTCTCGAGATCTCAGGGGGGAGGGGGCGGTCATCCGCCCCCCCCCCCCCCCCGTCGGTACTAAGTTGACGCAGACCCCCCGTCGGTGCGCGTGTTAATTTTGAGCTCACTGCATCGAGTTCGGCAAACATCCATCGAGCACGTCAGTGCCATTGGCCCGACCGGCAAACTATTCACTCATCTTATTCACTCTCATTCAACCCATCCACTTGTTACCATCGTCCTTTTTGGGTCGGCCGTAACTCGTAAGCCAGACGACGCTTGACACCAGAATTTTAAACCTGAATTTGAGCCGAAGGACGGAGGAACTGAGCCATGGGGTCGAAAAATACACCAGTAATGCAGACATTCGCAGCCCGTTTGTGTTTGCCTTCAAGACTGCCGCGCCTCGCTTCCGTTTGAAATACGTAAAATAAAGGCAGTTTTCATCTGGAATGCCTAGAATAAGCCGTAGTTTGAGTGGAATAAGGTCGCGTGACCATGTAAGGGAAAAATGAGTGTACATTTTGCCGTCCTTGCTCGGCATTGACAGCATCCTCCTGAGCCGGAATTGGCGCCCTCCTTACCCGAAATTGGCGCCCTCCTGAGCCAAAATTGGCGCCCTCACCAATTCTAGCCCCCTCCGAAAGTTTTTCCTGGCTGCGCCCCTGAAAACACTTCACAAAGGTCAGGCCACCAGAGATCAGCAAAGGTCAAATTTTGTCGATTTCAACAATTCTGAACCCCCGACGGACAACTCGGGAACCAAGAGAGCTACTACAGCGCCACGGAAAAGCGCATTCGATAGCTCTTTTAGCGCTCTTTCGCTACCGTGTCCTCAGAGTTGACCTCAGATCAACGGTCTAGCCTCCAGAGGGCATCGTGTTTCTCTCGTCAGTCGTCAAGACGTCGAATGAACTATGATTTGACCTTGAAAGGTCATTTGGAAAAAAATGACCTCAGCTCAAGGAAAGGGTCATGTTGCATATCACTTATCAGACTATTCGTACCTATCGTCGAGCTGATTGCTGAACACATCTACACGTCATGAAGTGTTTTCACCGCTCTAGCACCTCTCCGTCATAACTCATATGTTAACCCGCGCCCCGCTGGGCTATTCAGCCATACGCGCCCTGCTGGGGGGGGGGGGCAGATTCTGCCCCCCCCTGTCTAACTTCCGAACCGATGGTCGTAGAAAGACGGGGAAAACGGCAATCGAAAGCTCTCAACAAGGCGAATCTTAAGAGCCCAAATTTTTTTGCTTAAGTAGGTCAGAGGTCAGGTCAAGGTCAGGTCAAGGGTACAAAATGCAAGTTTCTACAGTATCGGCCTTGCACCGTAGTTGCCGAAGAATGGACTGAGACTGATTGCCCAAAAGGTGTTCTTAGACTACCAAGACAATATTCGTTGCACATAATGTCATTCAAAGGTCAAGGTCAAGGTCAGGTCAGGTCAGGTCAGGTCACCAAAAACAAAATATAGAAAAGGGCATGTGCGACACATGTTTTATGGGTCATTTTACTCATGGAATTCAATAGGCACACTCAATAAGTGATATGGACCACCTCTGGATGAATTTCAGGTCGAGGTCAGGTCAAGGTCAGGTCAAGTGAGGTCAAATTTTGAAGTTGGTTGTTAAGGCCTAAAAAGGTGTCTATCCGATGCAGTTTTTCACGGCGAATCGAATGGTGCTATTTTTGTTTCCGTACGAGGTCTAGAACTTCCAAAAAATTCATTTTTCAAAAAAATTGTGTGTCGTGACGTCATAAAATTTTGAATAACTCCCACATTTTTGAACCGATTCTTCTCAAAATTGGTATGTAGGTGCACATAGACAACTTCTTTGACATATATTCCGGTTTTTTCGATAAACTCAAAATTTTGGATTTTATAAATATTTTCCCAAAAAAGTCAGTTTTTTGGAAAAAATTTGGCCAAAATCCAAAATTTTCAAAAAACCGAGATAGCCATTTGATAGACAAAGTAGAATCACGTATAACCTTTTTTGTTACGTCTTGATTCCTTTAAAAATGAAGAAGTTAGCGGCGTTTGAAATTTTGCCGTTTTTGAGGCGAAAATGGCGAACATGACGTCACTAAAACGTCAATTTCTCAAAAAATTTCCGACGGATTTCGCTCAAATTTTCAGGGAACGTGTCAAATTGATGTATGATAAGGTACTGAAAGTTTGACGTCGCTGGCGTAACGCGTTTAGAAGTTATTGGCG